CTTTAACAAAAACAAACAATACTCCGGAACTAAGCCATCTGGATCTTCTTTTTTTTTTTTTAATTTGGGAGAGAGAGAGAGAGAGAGAGAGAGAGAATGCACAAGCAGGGGGAGGGGCAAAGGGAGAGGGAGAAGCAGACTCCCCACTGAGCAGGAGCCCAATGACGTGGTGATCCATCCTTGGATCCTGGGATCATGACCTGAGCTGAAGGCAGACACTTTAACAGACTGAAACACCCAGGTGCCCCAAGCCATCTGGATCCTAACAAGCACCACATGTTCATAACCTACTGGCTAATGGTGTTGTTGCCACATTTTCCCAAACCAAAGTAGTCAATAATTGGGATATACTGACACCCTTTGTAAGAAAAGTGAATCAGTGGTTTGTTCCTATTTTCTTTTGAGGAGATGGAAAATTTACAGACCGCATTGCATGGATTTGATATGGATAATTCTCTTGTTTCAGCTTTTGATGATGATCAAAGTCTCACTAATGCAAACTAATTGGAAGCATTGGAGATACTGGGTTTTGATTTTAAAAAGAAAGAATTTAATTACTTTTAATTACATATATTGTTTGAAACTTTATTAGGCTAATAGTGATGACCTAATAGGCATCTTATGATCAGATGTGAGTAGTTGTACTTAGAATATTAAATATGCTTGGACTCTTGCTGGATTCACTTTTACTGCAATAAGTGGATGTTTAAAAGTGTTCTTCCCCCTTATGAGTATATACACATTTACCTCACAATACAGTTTGAATATGAGGATGGTTTGGACTTCTTCTTGTAAAGTGGGCATAATTTATTTTGTTTGTAGTTACTTGATGTAGAATATCTGCTTTCCCAATGCCCAAACATTTTTTGGCTTATGTTGATTGACAGTATTAACTTACTGCAAAAAAAAAGAGAACAACCGAGAATGGCTGTGTGTGTGTGTGTGTGTGTGTGTGTTTACATAGAAAAATATTATGGAAATTATCAGGATACCATTTTCTTTAAAGATATTTGGAATATGAATTCCAGATGGTAGTTCTGCTCATTTCCATTTCTGGAGCTTGTCAGTAAGCCATGCACAACAAGCAAAACAGCAGTGACGGTGGCTAAATCTTCTCGTGAGTCACTCAGTACCTGATCAGGAATCAGAAGACCTGATATATTCTAGTCTCTATGGTTAATTAATTATTTTTCTGTCCCTTGGCAAATAATTTCCTAGTTTTCTTAGTTTCCTAATATTTACATGGTTTGAAATATATGGTTGCCATAATATTTTTAAAAATATAAAGTGAAAATGTGAGGTCTCATTTTTATAGTACTGGAGGTACATTTGAGCTAAAATTCTTCATGAATTTTTCTCCAACTCACAGAAGTTGAGAGCTGAGGGAACAGGCAAGGTGAGTGATGTAAGGGAACATGTTTTTATACTGTTATAAAGTAATGCATGTGAAATATGAAACACTGGGACATAATCAGAAAAATTTGTGAATTCTGACTTGATTTTACTTAATGTAATAATTCAAATTGTTAACAAATAATTTGTGTGTAATTTGAGTAGTATCTAAATTATATATGACCTCAATTACTATACATAAGCTTTCTTCCATCAGCCTTTCTCTCTTTTGTTGGAACTATGTAAGAATAAAGAAGGAAAACATTTTTTTTTCAGTCCTCTTTGTGGTTATAACTGGTATTTGTGCCAGTTACATTTGTGGGAGGATGAAGTAGAAGAGCCTTGAAATGACTGGCCTGGCTTCGATCCTACTGTTTTCACCAGTCCTGCCTTTAGCGAGGGCCATTATATCTAAGTTTCACTATGTCCAGGTTCTCAGACCAAATGGTTTCCATTTAGGCCAAATTTAAGAAGCTCCAGGCCAGCAGCTTAGTAGCCCAGCCTCGTCAGTCTAACAATTTGTTTCCCTCGTCTGGACCCAGCAGTAACATCCCACCTCATTTAATCATACCTGAGTCTCTATTTCCTGAACTGTCACTGTTCTATTGTCCTTTGGAGCAGTAGCCTTGTCTTTTCCTTAACTAAACTCCTGAAGGGTAGAACTTCCTCCCTGTGCTCCAGGCCCTGTATCTGGATGCTGATACCTGCTGCCATATTTTCCTGTGGTGCATGCCATTGAAGTAAGTCTGGATCTTACCACTGGCAGTTGCACCACATCTCACTCACCTGCCCTATAGCTGCTGACTTCTCAATAACTGAATGTCTCTATGCTAATCAGTCAGCGTCTTTGGGGCCTCCGCTTATTGCTTGCTTTGGGTTCCTCTCACATCTCCTTGCTCTCTATGGATCCTGCTAGAGATCTGCTTCTGGGATCTTAGGAGGTACCCTAGTAATCAAGAGTCTGCGCAATCTCTGGGTTTAGAGTCTCCTGTACTGACTGAGTCAAGCCAGGTTCTAAAATGCCCCAGGGCAGGGTACATTTTACTAAAGGCTTTCTTCTTCATATGAAATTTTCTTCAAAGAAGATGATCTCTTTAGACTCTCATGTCTCATGTGGAAAAGGAACTCAGTGTTCTTAGGCGTTTGTTATACCTACAAATGCATGGAAGAGAGTACCAAGATCTTTGGAACAGAAATTAAGAAAATCCAGCACACTTCCCTTTCAAAACACAAAACAAAAAATAGACAAAAACCCCAAAAGGATAAAAAAATGACCAGCTAACTTTAAACAACGGAACATTTCATCAAAGACTTAATTACTCTAGAAGGGCATAATTTGTAATGTCTGATGGACCTTGGTCATGGACTTTGGTAGACCAGGAGATGACAAGAGAAAACTAGTTAATAATTCTGTAGTTACTAACTAAATTAATAATGCTCCCCCAACCCCAGTAAAAGAAAGGAGGCAGAAGCATGAATTTGATGTCCCCCAGATTACTAAATGTTTAAGTGAACTTTAATGTAGTAATTATGGTCTGCTCACCTGAATTAATCCTTTGATGTTAAATGGATTGCTTTTGTCATTTTTGAAAGGGTATGGTATATTTACTTGCCATGGTAATACATTTGAAAGGGACTTATTTTGGAGGTAAATGTAAGTGGAGTCAGATGTTGTATGAGAACCTGTGGAACTGTTTTGAATGACATGTGAAAGCATTACTCGTAGATAATTATTTGTTCCCAAGATTAGTAGGTTAAAAACAATCTAAATAGAGGGGCGCCTGGGTGACTCAGTCGTTGGGTGTCTGCCTTCGGCTCCGGTATTGATCCCAGGGTCCTGGGATCGAGCCCCGTATCAGGCTCCTTGCTCGGCGGGAAGCCTGCTTCTCCCTCTCCCACTCCCCCTGCTTGTGTCCCCTCTCTTGCTGTTATCTCTCTCGGTCAAATAAATAAATAAAATCTTTAAAAAAAAACAATCTAAATAGAGTCCAAAAGAATCACATAATATCATTTCCATCATAGGCAAAATAATAGGAAAAATTCTTTATGGAAAAGATACATAAATGCAGAATTTAGGACATCTTTAATGAAATGAACCCATTAAGAAGTTTTTTACTGCCCCCTGCTGTCAGTTTCTAAAAGAAATATAGCAAAATTACTGTAAAAACTGACTCAAGAGGAATTAAGGCGCTGCCTTGAACAAAAATTCCCTGCTTTTAATTACACCGCTTTCTAGCCAGTAATGCTAATGCTTACTTCATGTTTGTGAGCAATAATCTGTCAAACTAAGAGACCAACTCTAGCAAAGTGTGTATTAGTGGCTGTAGGGTGAGAGGTCAAGTTCATGGCTTGTGAAATGCTATATTAATAAGAATGTACCAGTGTTACAATTTTTAGACAATGATGTCTACTTTACCATTTTGCCAAATTTCACAATTTTGAATTTACTCTTTAATCTTTATATAACCCAGGTAAAACATCCTTCATTAATAAAAGCAAAACTTCGAAAATAAATGAATGTATGGCTTATTTTTATAGTATAATCCAGCTTGCAATGTTATTTTCATTTTGGCATATAAAATTAAGAAATGAGAAATAATAAAAGTAATAGGTAATACTAATGCTGCAGTCACGAGGTGCAAGGCACGGTTTTATTTTTTCACATAGTATTTTACATAGTCATCATAAAATAGAATGAGGTAGGCTTTATTTTAATTCCCATTTCACAGATGAAGAAACTAAGTCACAAAGCAACTTGTCTCCGTGACACAATTGGTAAAAGGTGGAGCCACGACTGGAAGCCCTGCAGTCTGACTCCTGGGTCACTCTTAACCTTTTCGCGCAGAAAGTGTGAACTCTGCAGTTGAGGAAGAACTCCAGAAATTAGAATGGTCGTGGTGGTGTAAGTGTATATTGACTCCAACTAACCATGCACTCATGTAATTATTATTATTATCATCATTTTTTGCTGTACCCATGCTGTAGTGGCCAGAGCCTGTGTGTAAGCAACAGACCTGTATTTCTTTCAGTTTGGTTTATCTTTCTGTGTTTCCTCGGTTGCATCACATTCAAGGTGTGTAGGTGTGCTTTTTTAAGTGACCATGTGGCCACTTAGCCCAGGCCTTAGATCAGAGTATGTATTTGGGGGTTAATCTTGTGGTTGGCCTCTGCACACCTGTGCCTTTCATCTCTGTACTGCCACACAACTTCCAGTTTTAGCCACACTTTCAACCATCTTCAGCACCTCATATTCAAATGATGCACACACTTTCACAGTACTTTGAATGAATCAGTTGCACATTTTAAGTTTCCTTGGATGCTGTTAATTCCAGAGTCCTATTTAATAACCTATTTGTACCCCTCTATGCCTGTCCAGTCCTTTGCCTTCTCCTTAGTAGCACATGGTTCATGATTACGGACACATTGCACCAGGGTTAACTAGAACAACTAGTATTGCAATTCTGGGATGCTTTTGCCTTGCTGGTATTTGAAAACACCACTTCAGGCTCCAGAGGGCTAACTCTATAAGAAATCTCTTCTCATCCCACATTAAAGTAAAACTAAAAGTCAACACCAATCATTTGCTATTCATAATAAAAAGTTCTTACCTGACTCGAGGAATTGGGTTTCCAGTGACTCTACACTCCAAGTAAACTCTACTTCCTTCTGCCACTTCTTGGCTCCGAAGCTTCTGGATGAATCGCGGAGCTGAGGGGAAATGGAGTGCATTCTGGGGCTGTGGGTGAGAGATGTTATTGCACAGCACTGCCTTGTCCTGGTCTGCCTGGTAGCAATGCCTGGCTTCAGGTAACTTGACCTCAGCTTCCATCTCCTGTTGGTCTCCAGTGGGGCTTTGGCTGGCTGAGGCACTCATCAGGGCTGACTGTGGATTTTTAGGAGACAAGTACCCACTGTCTGGTGATGAGGACTCTCCGTTTGGGCTTCTATTTCTTGGCTTTGCTGCTTCTCTAAATATGGATGTCAGCTCCTCGATGAAATTAGCTGCCTTGTCACATAGCTGGCTCTGGGGTTCAGTCTTACCTTGATATGCTGGTTTGGGCTTTACACTTGTGTTGGTAGTTTTTGCACCCCGTTTTTCAGCCTTTCGGAGGCTCCGGATATAGCTGGGGCTGGCAAGCAGGGGTGATTTGGCAGGTTTCCTCTTTGAAGCAGGTGAAGAGATACGGTCAGTTTGTTCTGGCGGAGGTTGGACAGGTGTTGGCCTGTTATCATGAGGTCTTCCTGAGGAGGTTGGCTCACCAAATTTGGTCTCCTTATGGGAAGGATTTTCACAGACACCTACAGGAGAAGTGTTGAAAATCTGTGAGATCTCCTTTTCTGAGTCAAAATCTTCTGTTTCAGAGTTGGCTATAGCTCTCCGGGCCAGGTCAAGACTCTTGTTTATCTCTTCCTGGCTGAGAAAAGCAGAGAGCTCAGGGAAGAAGTCAGCATTCTTGCTTTCTTCCTGCATGTCTGATAGGGAATCATAGAACGAGTCATGGGAGGAAGTCTCTGACATAGTTCAATAGTCTTCATACACTTTTTGTTTGCTCTCAACAGGAAGTCCAGAGGCACTGGAAACCAGTTTACCTCTTGTGTTCTGAAAGACAACATAGAGAGAATTGCCATTAGTTGTGTGGGTGTGTTTGTGTGCGGTTATCATAAAATTACTAATTTTCAAGTTGGGAGAATCATTAAAGTGAACAAATAAACTTTTGTAAAAATTGTTTTTCTCTATTCAAGTTGGAAGAAACATCAAGTATACTTGTGTTTATTGTTTATCATTTTAATTTACTATTTTCCCTGTGAGTGAATTTTAAGTATCTTACTAACCAGCACTGAATAATTCAAACAGAAAATATCTGCACTGGGCACTAAGAGTATGGTAGGGCCTTCTGCACTTCTCAGAGCCTCCTTTTCTGTACCTCTCCCACTACATACCTCATTAAAGTTTCAATTGCATTAATGTTATGAAATTGGAAGCTTATTGATATTTTTAGTAAATCTGATTCTGCTTATCCCACCCTAAATCACAAATACATTTTGATTCCAAATCTCATTTATTTTTAGTTTTCAGTGAAATATTTGAAATCTTATTATTTCTTTTTTTTTAAAGATTTTATTTATTTATTTGACAGAGAGAGACACAGCGAGAGAGGGAACACAAGCAGCAGGAGTGGGAGAGGGAGAAGCAGGCTTCCCGCGGAGCAGGGAGCCCGATACGGGGCTCGAGCCCAGGACCCTGGGATCATGACCTGAGCCAAAGGCAGACGCTTAACGACTGCAAGCTGGCAGGCGCCCCCGAAATCTCATTATTTCGTTTTTCCCTTGTGTCCACCCATGTGCATTCATATTTACTCATTCAACAGTTATTTCAACACTTAGTTAATATCACTTATTAAGTTTCAGGTGCTAGAGGTATTGTCATTTTCTAGACTGGAGATTGGCAAACTGTTTTACAAAAGGCCAGATGTAAATACCTTTGACTCTGTGGACTGTACTGCCTCTGTTGTAATTATTCAACTTTGCATTGCAGCATGAATCTAGCCATAGACAATACAATGAATAAGCATTGCTATGTGCCAATAAAACTTTATTTATGGACACTGATATATGAATTTTATGTAAGTTTTACATGTCAAAAACATTTTTCTTTTGAATTTGATTTTTTCAGGGGTTAAAAAGTATAGGGACACCTGGGTGACTCGGGTGGTTAAGTGTCCCACTCTTGATTTTGGCTCAGGTCATGATCTCAGGGTTGTTAGATCAAGCCCCATGTCTGCTTGGGATTATCTCTCTCCCTCTGCTTCTCCCCCAACCTCCCTTTCTTAAAAAAAAAAAAGATTCTTTCTCTCCCTCTGACACCCTCTTAAAAAAATATATATTTATCATATATATATTTAAATCAAAATTATATATATATTTATTTTTTATTTTTTAAAAAATTTTTATTTATTTATTTGACAGAGAGAGACACAGCAAGAGAGGGAACACAAGCAGGGGGAGCAGGAGAGGGAGAAGCAGGCTCTCTGCTGGGCAGGGAGCCTGATGCAGGGCTCGATCCCAGGACTCTGGGATCATGACCTGAGCTGAAGGCAGACGCTTAACAACTGAACCACTGAGTCGCCCTATATATATATATTTAAATTAAAAATATATAACACTGTTAGTTTGCAGGCCATACAGAAACAGGTGGTGGGATGGATTTGGCCCAGGGGCTAAAGTTTGCTGACTCTTGATCTAGACTGAGGACATAGTCCCTATGTTCAAGGAATTAAAAGTCATGTGGGGTTATAAAGGGGGAAGGTGGAAAAGACATTAAACAAATAATATAAAATTTGGATAGGGTGTCAAAGGAAAATGAAAAGAGCTTTGTTGCTGTGAGAACGTAACTTAAATCTTTTAAGGACATGTGAGAGAACTTTGTGCCTTGCACAGGACATTTATATGGAAATACCACCAGCATTTCCATGTTCATTTTTTTTTAAAAGATTTTTTATTTATTTATTTGACAGAGAGAGACAGTGAGAGCAGGAACACAAGCAGGGGGAGTGGGAGAGGGAGAAGCAGGCTTCCCGCTGAGCAGGGAGCCCGATGTGGGACTCGATCCCAGGACCCTGGGATCACGACCTGAGCCGAAGGCAGATGCTTAATGACTGAGCCACCCAGGCGTCCTCCATGTTCATTATATAGAAATACCACCACCAGTTTCATGACTTGCAAAACAATTGGGCAGGAGCTGAAATTTCCACTGCAAATATTATGAGGCAATGACTCTTCAGTTACTCTAAGTATGCTATTCTTTTTCTATATATTGTTCATAGAATGGTAGAGGGAAGATCTAGAAAACTTCAGAAGGGAAACTTGCCTCAAGATTGAGTCTAAAAGTCAATAAAGGAAGCTTGTTGGATGTGGTGGAACTCAACTTTATAGGTTGGGTCAGGAGTAAACTTAGTGAGAAATTCATTCTCCATAAGGTCAGTGTTCCTCATGAGGATAGAATTGGGCTGCTTGTCCAGAACCAGTTTCCCATCTAGGGATTCTGCTTAGAGTGATGAGATTTTGTTCTATTAAGTGAAATGTCATTTTCTCTCCTATGACCAAAAAAGAGCCAGCTTGCATTTTTGACTCCTGCAAGTCTCCAATCTCAAAGAGCATTATGTAGAGGGGTTCCAGAAATCTACCTCGAGGACTTACTACCACATAGGATGCAGTGATTCATAGAACCTGTCAATTCAACAGAAGATATGTAATCAGACCCTCAAGCTCAATATTAACCTACTGCATCTTCTTTAGTTGAAAGTTGTACTTGCGTCTTAGATGTCCTCTTAGAAAGATTAATCTGTTATACCTGAATTATGAGATTCTCCACATTCTAGTCTTTTCCTATCTACTAAACCATATTACCCTGTATTCTCCTAGTAAATTTTACAAATCCACTGGAGTGGTATTGTCACCGTCTCCCTCTTTATAACATTCTAATTCCTTTGTCCTGTCTGTACTCCAGAATGGAATCATTCTGATTCCTCACCGATTCTTTAAATTAGCCCATATATGGAGAAATGTTGTATTCAGTGTGTTTTGTATATTTTAGTATGTTTTGTTCATGAGAAACAGGCAGTTAACACGTGATTTTGAAAGGGCACAAACATAGAAACTATTATGTATAGAATATATAATACAGAAAATGCAAAATTAAATATGAAAATATATAGCCTGATTTTCAGTTTTTTCGCATACCCTTCATCTAAGTACCCATTAGCTTTTACCTTCTGACCTAGCCTTCTCCCAAAACTTAAGTATCAGGAAGTAGAAAATTCTGTTTCAGTTTGTGTGCCACTTTCCCTGAAGGTCAAGGCTCATTGAGGCTCAAAATCCAGAAACGTGGGTGGGAGCTTGGAAGTTTATGAAAGTGGAAGGAGAGACCACATACTAGTGTTCTAGTAGTTGTGGTTCTCAGTGGGAAGCCAAATCTGGGGACTGGTAGTCAAAAGCTTGGAGCTTGTTTCTGGCCACAAAAAAGAAAAAAAACCCCAGCAAAATCATGGCAAATATAACAAGTATCATAATAAACATTCATGCAAGGTTTTATTTAACTAATTAATGAGGAAACTGGTAAGATGTACAACTATTTCAAAGCAGACTCTAAAGTATATGAATATATATGTACATAAATATAATATATGTGTACATATATAAGTATATATGCAGACAATCAAGAATGCTGAAATGAATTTACTAATAAATTTGAAACTGGTTAATATAGAGAGAGCAGTAAAATGTAATGTTTGGAGTCATTTCTATGGAGTACAAATGAATAGTATTTCTACTGCAAAAAATTTATTTGTATATTCATGTTCAAGTATAATTTGCATTGCTATTCGATTTCTACAATTTACAAAGTTATAGAATTGCCTACTTAAAGACAGAAAAGGCATACACCACGATAGAATCAGATGACCCTGGAAGGTCTACCAGACCCCACCCAGTATTCCACTGAAAAGACACCAGTTTCCTATTGCTTATTTCAAAGCCTTTCATAGTTTGTCCTGAGAAGGCAGATGGGTTTCGCCCAGAAGAGAGCCCTTAACTACATTTGGCCCTTCAGTCAGCAAATATGGTAGATGGTTTAGGAGAAGTCAAGGTCAAGGTCAACTCTTAAAATGTGTGAGGATATAAGTCACCAGGCAACGTTAAGCTAGAAGACATGAAAATAGGAAGAGAGAGATGCTTGGGCCAAAAGTATGTTTATATACTGAAGGCAAAACAGACCGTATTTCCATTTCTTGCAAAATGTATTTTTTGGAAGAGAAGCTATTGGTCTGTTTATTTTTGGCCTTAGAGAAATTAATTTTTTGTATTGAACTCAATGTGAGAGAGAGATTGGGAAATATAATTAAAAAAAGATTTTATTTATTTATTTTTGCGAGAGAGAGAGGGAGAAAGTGAGAGAGAGCATAAAAGTGGGGGGAGGAGGGGAGGAGCAGAGGGAGAAGCAGACTGAGCAGGGAGCCCAATGTGGGGCTCAATCCCAGAACCCTGGGATCATGACCTGAGCCGAAGGCAGACGCTTAACTGACTGAGCCACCCAGGCACCTGGGAAATACAGTTTTGAAAAAGACAGGTTTCTGTCCTCATGGACCTTAGTCTATCAGGGATATAAATAAGTAATAAGCATACATAATTTAGTATGTCAAGTGCCAAGATGAGAGAACAAAGAGCTATGTTAGCACCTAGAAGGGATAACAGGGTTAAGATCAAGAAAAGCTTTATGGAAGATGAAGCCTATAGGATGATATGTGAAGGAGGAGGAAGAGTTAGGCAGGTAAAGAGGACACTGGCAGAAGCATAGACAGAGTCTTGGATCCCAGGGAGAGTATGGCAGACTCAGGTAACTCAGAGAGGTTCACGGAAACAGAAATAATCTATGTGAAGAACTTGAATTTTATCTTAGGCGCAGCTAGAGGACAAAGAAGACTGTTAAGTATGTGAGAAACATCACTAGAGTTGCATTTTATT